CCTCACCCAGGGATGCCCTTGCCAGCGAAGAACCACGAGTTACTGATAAGCATCTCAGATAACCCAACTGATGACTTTCTGTAGCAGCACTCACTCACCCATCAGAGTCCCTGGGCCCTGGCCAACCCCATTCTCCTGGACTCGTCCACAGGACCACAGCTCTTGGCGTCGTTTCTACCTCATGCCTCTTTCCTACCCCAAACTGCCCCCGGCCAGCTTTCATGCGCCCCTCAAACATCTGCTAACACAACAGTTGCTGCCTGTTCTGAGGCCTGCTCCAGGGGGTTTGGGGGACTCAGTGTGTGGGCAGCTGCAATCAATCAAACCTCTGTTTCAGCATCCCGACCCTCCTCACAAATGTCTTGCTTCTGTTTAAAGCACTGTTGAGATATACAATTTGTTGCTCTTTCAAACTCACCAGCTTGGAGTCAAAAATACAGCAAGGACCATGACAGCCAGGGGCACGGCATTCAGCGGGTAATGTTTCATTGTTGCTGTCTCTGAAATCTTTGTTCACACACACGTGACCCATGTCTAAATGGCCACACATAGCTCAGGTCTCTCTGGGAGTCAAACAACGCTTGGTGGTCAAACCAGGTCTCAAAAAAGCAATAACTAAAAATGTCAGCAAAAGTCTTGCTAATAAACAACTCATCTGCTCAGGCTGAGCCCTGCCCTCAATGGCACACACTGTCATTTTGCAAAAGGGAGGGAGCGGTTTCACATAAAACACCAGGCAGAAGGGGCCTCAGCAGACCACGTGAGGAGGAAAGCATGCGGGGAGCTTAGTAGAATCAAACCTGGGCAGGGATGGGGCCAGGCTGGTTTTCTGGGCTGCCTCTGAGCATCTTGCTCTGAGAACCAAGTGGTTGCAATTACAATTACAGGGAGGGGCGGGCCTTTCTGGGCTGGATCCTTGCATCATTTCTCCCAGTTGGGGCTCTCCTCACTATAGTCACCCTCCCTCACTCAGGACGCAGATGGCCTGTTCACCTGCAGCCTCATTCAGCATCTCTGCCCACGAGCTGGGCACTGAGGTTTTAAGAAGACATGAGCAAAGACAGTCTGAAACCAATTTCTAGCCCCATCCACCGCATCCCAGCCTCACTGCCACGAGAGATGAGAGCCACTGCTGCTAGCTGGCTGGACAGCTGTGCCTCAAACGTGTGCCTGGGAAGGGACAGGGCATCTGGAGGGGCATCTGGTGGGTTCCCAGGGTCATTTCCACTCTAGCTCCACAGGCGACGGATGTAAAACAAGAACACTCACACACAGCCAATCCTCTGGTAAGTGGCTATTCCAATTCTGTCACCATGTCACAACCCTCGGCTCTGAGCACGGAGCTCACTGCAGGCTGCTCTGAGCTGCAGGGCAGGCCTCCTTCCCATTTTCAAAGGAAGAGGATGAAGCAAGAAAAGGAACAAACAAGAAGAAATAAAGGGTGAGGTCAGAAAAGGGGGGGTAAAAACAGAAGGAAAAAGATGGACAAATAAAGAAAAAAGGGAGTCCTTATAATGGATTGAGTATGCCTCTGGGAACGCCACCCTCCAGGCCCAGTTCTGGCTCTAGAGTTGCACAGAACAAACCCACGCCTTTCCTCCCAAGTCCTGCAATTATGACAATGATAATAAATCTTTATCAGCATTCACCGTGTGCCAGCCAGTGCACGAGGTGGTGTGTGTATGTGTGTGTACAAAGATACACACACATACGTACTATAGATAGACACAGATACACATGCACACCCCTATATAGATACACATGGACATATATGTGTGTGCACACACATTATACACACGCACACATGTTATTTCCCTTGTTCCTCCCAACAATCCTATGTTGTCATTGGTGGTGATGGTATTTGCTAAACAGAGATGTTAAGCAGTTTGCCCAGGGCTGCCAGCCTCCTGCCCCTACTCTGGCGGCCTTCTGATTTGTTGATGTCCCCCCCTCAAATGCAGATCTACAGGTAAACCCACCATGCTCCAGAAGGGCCTCAGTTTCCTCAGAAGGGGCTGGAATGGACGAGGCCCAAGATTACACCTACCTCTCACACCCTCTGCTTCTAGCCCTGGAGTCTGCACCTCAGGGCAGTGTCTCGCTCCCAGGGCAGTTCTCCTGCTAAACTCACCGTGGGTGTGCACAAGGGCAGGGCCTTGAACCGCGGAGCTTCTGCCCTCCCCTGCTGGTCAGACTTTCTTGGGTTCTCTCCCTGGTCCATTTTCTGCAGGCAATTTGGAGGGACTCTGGCTACCATCCTCACCCTGGGTGCCCTAACTAATGGCCAGAGAAAAGCCCCATGCTCACACATCCCCTGAGAGGTCTGAAGGCCCCAGCCCCAGTCAGTGCCTCCAGGGAATCAGGATTTATCAGAACCCCCAGCCATTCCAAAGGTCTAACCAAAAAGGTATTTTTCACATTCAATCTGAGGTTCTCACGCATCTGGTCCCAGAACCCACGCACAAAGAGGCTCTTTGACATCAAAGAACCCCCCCAAAAAAGTGAACGTATAAACCAAGATCAAAAAACCCATGAAAGAGAGTCCATGATCCTGCTTGGGAAAACAATGGCAGGAAATGCAGAGGGAGCAGCCAACCCTTGCACAAGCCCGCCTTTCTAGAGATGTGCAGACCCTGCTCACCGCCCGGGGGTTACAAATGCCAAGTAAAGCCACAGCTACGGAGGCTAGGGTCTGTGGGCAGTAAGGCCCACGTCAGCTGATATGTGGCTGTGAGCACGTCCCTATACACCAGTGACATGCCAGCTCACAGGGTACCAGGCTCAGGGCCCCACAGGTTCCAGGCTGGGTCCAGAGCTCTTTTCAAATGCACAGGGGTTGCCCTGGGCCTGGCTTTCAAGGCTCCTGGAAAAGCAACACCCACCTCCTGAGGCCATAAGTCAGCCAGTGGAGGAGCCCAAGCAGACAGAGCCCCATGGAGAGAGGGCTGGCAGGGGTCTAGAGGCTTAGGGTGAGGTTGGGCACTCAGGGTCTACCCCCAGGGCTCTGGCCACAGCCCTTTTGCACATGTACTCCCAGGGGCCCCTTCTCCACTTTCCCCAGACTCTGCCCTACCCAGGCCTTGGCCAGGGAAAGACAGGCAGCCTCCTCAGCCTCTTGGAGGCCTGCCTAGAGCCATGAAGCAATCCACACATCTGGGCACAGCCCACCGAGCAATATATTTTTAAACGATTTCTACCCAATTGAGGACGGGAAACGTCTCCAGTGATGCCAGTGGTATTATTCCAACTTGCGGCTGGTAAAAGATAATAACACATGTAAGCTGTTTTTATTACCTATCTAGCTTATTAGCTAATAAAATAAGCCCAGCATTAAAAATTTAACTGAAGCCAGTTAAATTTTTGAAAAATTTATCACACCCAGAACTCGGGGCCCTGAGTTTCCTTCAGAAGTCACCCAAATCTGTCATCTTTCCAGTCTTTTTACCTATTTAAATTTTTCTAGAGAAGGAAAATTCCACTCACGTGTCCAATGTAAATGAGCGTGTTCGATCGCTGTCTAGCTACTAAAGTAAAAAATGTCCTCCACTTAGGAAAAAGAGGGACACACCTGGAGCGGCGATGGAAGAAATGGAAACTGGAAAATGAGGGGCAGAGAATGGACGTGTGCCCAGTCCTCCTTTGGGCTCTTCCCCAAGTGAACCCCATGGGCACAGAGGAGGCGGAGCACATGACGAGCTCGTCCTCCAGCCGTGCCAGGCCGTGGCCCGGGCTCTTGAGCAAAGGTGGCCAGAAAGTCTGGACTCTGGGGCCAGGTATGTGCTCCAGCCTTGAGATAGCTGCAGCTCTTTTCTTCGGGGAGGGGGATCTAGGCTGGGAGGGGGAACTAAAGGAGGGAGAAGGAAACTTCATAAACAGAAACTGCATTGCCATTCTAAAACGAAAGGAGGCCCAGCTGAAACAGCAGCACTGGGCACGGAAGGAAGGTGGTCATGCCCACCCGAAAAGGAGTGGACATGATGAGGCTGCCTGACCAGACGTGGCCACATGCTGTGAGAGCAAGGCCACGCTCTCACTGCCAAGGTCTCCATCCCTGTCAAACCCAGCAATGACCAATGCTTACGTAACAAAACCAGAAAAGACCATAGTCAAACTGTGGCATTAAGCACCTGAGAGCCGCCCAGACACAGAACCCAGAGCACCACATTCCACCCACCACATCTCCCGCCCTTGAGTGGACGGGTCACAAGGGCCAACCCTACTCTCAGGGTCTCACCAGAATGCTCTCATCCTCGGGCCTCCCCCATAAGAACCAAACGCAGGTGGCACTCAGGCTTAGAGACTCCTGACAACGGTGTATTAACTCCAAGTTCATCTCATTCAAATCAATACCCAAGATCATGTTAATTCAAGGCAGGGCTCCAAGATACAGAGATAAAATGCAAGTGACGGGGCATGTGGCCGGAGGCCTCGCCTACAGGAAACGGCAAGGACTATTACAGACGTGGCACAGTGATCACAATTTCTTGATGGTCTCACATTTTTGACAATTTAATCAAAAGAGTAAGTGCCTCCCCCCATCTCGCACTCTCTAAAGCCATTACCCATGTCCCTGATCTCAGGATCAGCATAATCCAAATGACCCTGAATCCTGGTCTGTGTGAGCATTTCTTACAGCGGCTGCAAGGATGGGTTCCTGGGAGAGGCTCCAGCGAAGTGCTAGAAGGGAACCACCAGTGTTGGGTAACACTGGTCTGCCTGCTGACGCCCTGACTCTCACCATCTGTCTGCTCTTGTACCACTAGCACTGTGTTCACAGAGAAAGAGTATCTCTGATTTTAAATGCAGAAAAATAGACACACACACAAAAGACTTGATTTTAGCTTTCTTTGAATAGGACTTAAAAACAAGAAAATTGGCCCACTCCTGGGCGTTTCTGAAACTGGCAGCCTGCACTTGCCTGGGATGGGCCAGGACCAGCGGAGGCTCCACTGAGCACCTAGATGCCTCTGCAGCACCTTTCATGCGGCTGGGGCTCTTACCTGTGCCATCTTGGCAAGGTCTAGGGAAGGCCTCTGCTCCTGCACCTCTTCGGGGCGCCGCCGCTTAACGCCGACCTTCTTGTCATTAAGGACACACGGCTGGGAGCGGCTGCGGGAGAGCCCACTGGAGCGTCTCGCCAGCTCTGGCGTTGAGGCAGGTGTGCTGCTGGCTGAGGGTGGACAGTACTCTGCAAAGGAAAACTGCTCATGTGAGCAGGAGAGGGACCGCTGCATGTCAAGCCGGCCCCCTCCCACAGGGTTTGGGTCAGAACTCCAGATGTCGCCTGCCTGTCCACAGGTGGCTGAGCCTGGCACCCCTTGGCAGGGCTGGCCTCCAAATCGGTGGTGAAATCCCGCCTGGTCATAGGGCGAGGAGAGCACGTTGGCCCGGGAAGGGAGGCTGAAGCTGGAGCTCCTCTGCATGGTGCTGAAGCCATTGGAATAGCGCTGGACACTACCCCCACTGTAACATCGTCTCTTTTCTACAGGAGTCCAGACTTTGGACCCCAAGGGCCTCCATGATGTCCGGCAGCTGGACATTTCATCAGAGAAGGACAGTGACCGGCACTGGCGCTTGCTGGGGGGTGCTGAGGGGTTCCCGTTGTGGTCATTGAGGCTGAGGTCTTTGATCAGGTTGGTCACTGCACAGGCGGTTGCTGCCTCCCGGTGCCACAGAGTGCTGTCCTGACACTTCTCAGGGAGGCACTCCCAGATGCTGGCGCTTGGCTGGTCAATCTGAAGAGGGCATTTCCTGTCCAGGTCTCGCCATCTGTCATTTTCTGGTTTATAAATGACAAAGAGAAAACAGGATTTGAGAAAGCCTTCGTGCCAGCCCTCTTATCTCCTCACCAAGAGCCCATTTTAAAGAGGATTTTAGAGCCAGATGGTTTTAAAAACCATCCAGTCCAACTTCACTTCACAGATGAGAAACTGAGGCTTAGAGAGGGGACATAAGTCCCAAGGTGTTGAGTTAGAAGTAGAGTGAGACCTGGATCCCGGTATCCTCCGGGACACCTGATACTCTGCCGGCAGCAAAGCTGGGGCAACATGGCTGCTACACTCCATCTCAACGCTCTGCTGCTCTTGAGCTGGGACTCGACGCCTGGGCAGAAGACCACGACCAAAGATGAGTCCTCGGTATTTTAGAGGGTCAAGGTCAAAAGGGGCTGAGGGTGCTGCCAGGTTAGTTCATCTGAATTCCATCTTTAAAATACTTGCTGATAATAGAAACTGGATCTTTTACTGGTTTATGTCCCCTCCACAACATCAACAACCCAGGTAGCGGCCATTCACTGAGCACTCTCCTCAGGTGCACTTGATTTCTCCCTGAACCGAAGGATGTGTCAAGTGGTGAAAATGTAGAGGAGCAAGCCTTGGGCAGCAGAGACTTAAGGGCACAATTGAAACTTCCATATTCAAGTCTCCACTTGAATGCATGAATAAATAAGCTGACCCAGCTATGAGATGCTGGCTTTGTATTTGAACCTTCATTTTAGTGAAATATTCAAGAGCCATTTGCTGTTTTTCTACTATGGAATCATTAAAAGTGCTGAGAATTTTAGAAGAATGAAGATAAATTTGACATAGTTCTCATACTCAAGTTTATAATACAAAAGCAAAGTTAAGAAATATGTTGTGCTCCCCAGGATCAACATGTTAACATGTTCTATTTTTTCTAATCTATATATATTTATAAACTGTGCAAATGTGAATACAGAGAAAGCCACAGCTTGACTCAGTCAGTAGAAGGACAGAAGTGAAACCTGAAACGATATTCAGCAGGTACTTAATGCACACGGAGCCTCACAGCACTGCAATCAGTTCCTGAGCACCCACCATGGGCGGGGTAATCCCATCCACCACACTGCCACTGCCCAGATGGGGGACTGAGGCTTGGGGAGGTTGAGTAAGTGGCCCAGGGCCACACAGCTAATAAATGACAGGATGCAAACCTGGGCTGGTCCAACCCAAAGCCCATGCTCTTTTCACTACACTACAGCACTGAGGGGAAACACAGGGAAACCTGACGGTGGCTCTGCTCTCAAGGACCTTTCTAGTCATGCAAGATGGGCTGTTTGCTCAGAAAATTGTGATGTAACTTCCAGGCAGCAAGGACTACACATCTTTCTCCTCTCAGTGGCCACTTCTCAAAGGGCACTGAGAGACACATCTGAGGGACTGATCCCATGCTGAGTGTCACAAGCGGCAGCTTCTTGACAGGTTCAAAGGGAATGACCAGTGAGGCCCAAAAGGAGCTTCACGATCCAAAGGAAAAGCCACATCAGGGCTACATGTGACACTCCTTCCTCTAGGGCACCCTGCTGCAGTCACGAGACGCAGAGCCTGAGAGCCTGGGACCCTGGGCAGCGGATGCGGGAGGAACTGTCCAGAGGCTGCTCCCACGTGAGGGCCTCAGAAGCTGGAGGTGTGGGAGAGAGGTTGTCCTCAAGCCCAGTTAGGCCAGCTGGGAACAAAGCAGGACTGTCACTAAACATCCAGTTCACCTCATTCCTGAATCTTCCCTGGCTCTGGTGCACAGCAAACCTCAATACATGTTCCTTTAACTGAATTTGATAAATTATTACCCAAAATTAACTTTTTGCAAGTAACATATATGTTGTTCAAAATATGTCTTCACTACCCACCATCCCTTAAGTATTCACCATTCTGTTAAAAGTTTCAATTTGACATCGGTCAGCAGTAAAAGTGCAGTAAACTAACGCTAAAGTAAAATGAAAAGAAAGGCAAACCAGCACTGACTGAGGCATGTTATCTGATTTGGAAGAAAAAAGTTATCCTCAGGAAAAAGTAGAGATTTATGTACGATGATGTTCCTCAAAATGATATGAGTGATAGCAAAATGGTAAACAGAACGAAAATATCCTACTTGTTAACTAAAGTATCAAAGAAAAGCACGGAGCACGAAAAAAGCAGAGTTTTAAAAAGAATATCAATGAGGCTGGCCCAGTGGCACAGCGGTTAAGTGTGCACATTCTGCTTCGGTGGCTGGGGGTTCGCCAGTTCAGATCCCGGGTGTGGACATGGCACCACTTGGCAAGCCATGCTGTGGTAGGCATCCCACAGATAAAGCAGAGGAAGATGAGCATGGATGTGAGCTCAGGGCCAGCCTTCCTCAGCAAAAGGAGGAGGAGTGGCAGCAGATGTTAGCTCAGGGCTAATCTTCCTCAAAAAAAAAAAAAAGGGAATATCAATGATGTGGGAAATGTTAACGATATAAAGCTGAGCTTAAAGAAACAGGATGTAAAACTGTATAGACAGCATGATTCCTCCTTAGTAAAATCTGTATGTTATACGTGATGATAAAAAGGAAATAAACCAAGATAGAGACGATTGGCAGATGGCTGGCTGATTTATATTTTCTCCTTTTTGTTGTCCTATAGTTTCTTCGACATTTCACATAAGGACAAATGTATTTCCAGATATGTGGGGGACGTGACCACCAAGCTTGCTTGTACCGTGCCAGGGTCACGCCTACGCCGACAACCCCACCCTCCTCTCCGTTTACTCCTTTGGTTTTTCGGGAAGTTCCCGTAGAATAACGCTAGCCACCAACTTCTCTTTTGGGACAAGGCACTGAGGCGCCAGATGGGCCATGAATGTGGCAGACTGAGAAAGGAACCAGTGGGCCCAGCCACAGAGCAGTGAGGGCCCTAAGATGGCACTACAGTAGCCCCGTAAGGAGCCTGAAGTACACTACAGAATGTGTCTCATTCAGGCCCTGGGAAACCCATGAAATTAAGAGAGATTGATCCCATCTTCGGAGGACACCACTTTCTGTTCCATTTTTATTTCACTGGCCTGGAATTTTCCCCATCTCTAGGGAAATCATGAGAAGAAAGAGGAATTGGGAGCCAGTTAAGCATGAACGTGGTCTCTCTCATCTGGCAGTGCTGTTCCTCTCCTGTGGCCATCTCGTGATCTTGGTGCTTCTTGACTGGACTCCTCAGGCCTCCCTACCCAGTCCCACTTCCTCACTGCCTCCAGAGAACTTCCTGAGGCCAACACACCTGTCGTAGTCCATCCCCTTCAGCAGCTGCCCATTGCCTTACAGAAAGAACGCAAACATCTGAGCCTGCATCCAGGGCCCTGTCTACTTATTGCCTCCCCAGGAGACTCTACACACCAGGCACACCAAACTTCCTGCGACATCGGAAGTCAGACAAGAATCAGGAGGAATCAAGATCACCCTTGAAAATCTCTGAAACAGCGCATAGAGCACACTCCTCTTGGTTCTGTGGACCCAGCCCTGAAGAGTAACTCTTTCATACCAGCAATTCTTTATAAAACCAAAGTTTAACAAATGGACTGCGGAATGAGCACAGGTAACATCTATATACAGAGGGGTGGGCATTCAATTTATTTTTAAGTTAACTATCAAATCCCCAGTGAGGACTGGGGTTGGATGGCTACTTCTAACGTGTTCCTGCTTACCCGCGGGAACTACTCCACTCTGTTTTAAAGAGCCTCTATGACCTTAACATATAAGATGTCTTTGTTGTAGGGAGGATTAAAAGAGAGTTCTCAGGTCAGTTCACTGGTTAAATTTGAGGACTGCTGTGGATTTGCAGCTTCCCCCAAACATCAGCCTTCACAGCTTCGCAAAGGCCTGGAATCTTCTTCTCCTGCCTTTATCCTTCCACCAAGAGTCTCTTACTCATCATTTCAAAGCCAACTCACACATCACTCCCCTGTAGATACGCCTTCCCTGTCTCGGCCCTGGGTACCACCACTCCTTGCCTAGAGCTTCACTCATACGGCTCACATGTTAACTGAACCTCAATCATCTGTTCACATGTCTGCTACTTCTGCTGAACACAAGCTCTCAAGCACAGTCCCAGCATGGCTCCCCAATGCTGACCACGGAGCCTGGCACACAGCAGACCTCAGCAGCTGCTGGTGGGTGGAGGAAGGAGTGGATAATGTGCAGATAAAAGCTGCAGAGTAGGTCACAGGTGTTCCCTTGGTCTTGCTTGTCTTCGTCCCGGGCATAGCTGACTCTTTCTTGGGCAGGCAGATCCAACCTGGGCTCTGCCTTGATCTCCCCACGCCACTGGGGCCATGGATGGTTGTGTGTGAAGCAGCAGGGAGACTGGCCGATGGAATAATGTCGAAGATAATTCAAAAACGCAAAGCACTGCCCAATGTTGAGTGCTGCCGTTGTGTGTCAACACCAGCCAGGTGGCCACTTGTTCTGTCTGTGGGGCAGATAATATTTTAATTGTTTCTATCTTTATCGCTTCAAGAAGTACAATATAAGAAAAGTAAAAACAATCGAGGCTATGTTTAGCCCTTGTATTTTCCCCCTTTGCTCAGAGAACAGAAAGCGATTTGTTGGGTCAGGTCACCAGACAAAAGAAACAGGAATAGAAGCTAATTTTTAATGGCAAACCGCCCTGAGCTTTCAGCCCCGACGTCACGTTGCACAAAGGGCCTCGGTAGGGCTCCGAGGAGAGGATACCGGACGCCCCCGCCCCTCCATTCAATATCACTTCTGCACAAACAACTATAACTCTTTCAGAAGTGACAATGGCCATGGACGTGGGGAGTGCACTGAGCAGGGGTCACTTGGTGTGGTGGGAAGCATGTGGACCTGGGTTCGAACTTCAGCTCTGCAAGCTAATCTCTCAGAGCCTCAGTCTCCTCATCTATAAATGATAGATGAGGAAACAGTAACTACCTCACAGAGCTCTTATGAGAACTAAATAGTTGCTTGGGATAGGGCCTGCGAGGACACAAAGCAGGCTCTCAATGACGGCAG